GTAGGGAAATCAGGGGACTCTCTGTTATGTGCATGGAACAAGAGAATGGAGCAGTCCCTGCTGACATTTAAACATGGCATGATATGTGTTCTGTCTGTATAAATTATGGGAAAATGTGGAGGATGTCTGCAGATTTACTGGCAGCACCCAGTTGACTTTTGTGTTCATTGGTAAACAGAAATGGTCAAGGAGCTCCTTTTTGGGCCTCTCTAAAGCTCTGTATAGATGATGCATCCATGCATTGAGTTACTTGATAGCGAATTATGGGCATGAGGATGGTGGCCCTGCCCCCTGCCTCTGTGATCACTGAGTTGTCTGCATGATGCTAATGTATGGAGGAAGTGTCCACACATTTTTTCTCCCTATGATCAGTGCAAATGTTGATGCTGCAGTCCAAATGCTGATGATCATGGGGAGGTAGCATAGGTGTGGATACATTTATGCATACATTTATGCTGTACAGATGACTTGGTGATCATGGGGGACAAGGCCATGCTCCTGGTAGTAAGGTAGTATGCAGACTGGGTCCTCTGTATGGGACTCAGATCTTAAGAGTTTCCAGGAATATTCCAGTATTCACCCTGTTCCTATCACAATGTACCTGTCTGGCTAACTTATCATCTCTTTCTCTTGACAGGCATCCTCCACTTGATAGCAGCCAGCAACCAAGACAAGCCAGCAAATCTCCAGATCCCAGACTGCCTACTCTGAGCAAAAGTAGAACAGTTGACACACTGAAAACAGAGCAGCGGGTGCCTGGGAGGAGCCCATCGGCCACGAGTCTGAGACAGTCTCAATCAAGGACTGATTTCAAAGAGGATCCAAAGCCAAGCATGATGCCCAGCTTCCTCTCTGATGCCAACCCATTTGGCGCAGTCACTTCAGTCGTGAACAAATTCAACCCATTTGATTTGATATCTGAGTCAGATCCAGCCCAGGAAGGAGCTGCCAAACCCCAGAAACCTGTTCAGAAGGAGCAGGAGAGGCCTGAGCAGCAAAAGGGACCCCCAAAGCTACCTATTCAACAGTCTCCAAAGCCAACAGGTCTGCTTCAAGGAGCCACCCCACAGAAAATGGGACTTTCCAAACAGCAGCAGCCCCCTGGGATGTCTAAGCAAGCTCACCACCAAGGTCCTAGCCAACCAAAAGGTCCTCCGGCAGAAGAAACAAAACAGCCACAAGGGCCACCAAAAACTCAGCCACAGCAGCTAGAACCTGCAAAACCTGTGCAACAGCAGAGCCCTGCAAAGCCTTCTACACAACAAGCACGTGCTGCAAAAGCATCCCCCCAGGAACTT